TTGTTGTTGTTAAGTGCCGTCGAGTTGGTTCTGACCCATAGTGACCCTGTATAGGGTTCTCGAGGTGCCACTGGTGAGCTTGAACCGCTGACTTTGCAGTTCAAATGGCTTTGCAGTCTGGCGCATTAACCCACAGCACCACTCCAGGACTCCAAGGGTGGATGCACCTATCTAACCACTAATGCTGAAACCAGGACCAGCAAACAAATGTACTCCTGATGCATTCCAGGTTTCCTTTGGCTGCCTTCCATATACCCAAATAGAGCTGCCACTCCAGATTTGCTTTATGTCTCCAGCTTGAGACAGAAATTCCCAAAGAGAGGAGGAGTCAGACTGGCCTACGAAAAGGCAAGGCTATAAGGAATGACCCCTTTGAAGAGAAGGTGGCTCCTTATTTTAAAAAAAGAGGCCACAAGTTCCCTCACCTACATGGGTTTATTGGGCCATTCATCTTTGAAAGCCACAGCTACTGTGGGGACAGTTCAGTCAGCCAGTGAATATAATCTGAAGGTTATAGTCTTGCCACCACCAGCACTTGCTCTGCACACTGAAGTAGGCAGAGTGGAGCAGGGCAGTGCAGCCTCCGCTGCTCCCTCAGAGAGGAGGACAGCAGTGACAGTGATTGATGGCAGCCACCTTTTCTGGACTCTGAGTCCAGTGCTCCAGCAAGGGTTAGATGAACTTCTTACAGGAATAAGGAGTGAAGAAGAAGGAAAAAAATCACATACAGGATTAAAGGAGGCCATAACAGTCTTTCCCTAACTGTAACCAGATTTTCTAAAAATAAATAGGGCAACTCCCTACTGTCCATAAATTATCCTCTGAAGGCACTGCAGAAAGCAGCCACCGGATTTCTGCAGTATTAAAAATAAAAAAGTGAAAAAAACAATGCAACAGTAACAACTCAAACTAGAACTAAGAAGCCAATGGTCCTTACACTACGTTCGTTCTTCTCTATTGGTCTATTGGAGTCCTGGTGTGGTGCTGTGAGTTAGCGCGCTGGACTGCAAATTTGGTTTAAACTACAAGGTTGGTGGTTCAAGCTCACCAGTCACTTCACAGGAATCTTATACAGGGTCGCTATGGGTCGTAACTAACTCGATGACACTTAACAACAACAACAATATGGGTCTATTATCAAACATTACTCATGAGGCAACCACACATACTAAAGTCTTATTTTCCCCTCCCTTTGGCACTACAGGATAATGAACTGGACCACAAGGTCAGTTTGAACCACAGGGTTGGCGGTTCAAATTCACTGGGTGTTCTGCAGAAACCCTATATATGTCACTATGAGTTGCAACCAACTTGATGGCACTTAACAACAACAGCTCATATAAACAACAACAACAAACAAACAAACAGCACGATAATCCAAAGTCATTTCCAAAATTCATAATCCAAAATTCAAAGTACAGATGTCAATTCTAGGAGTAATGAAACATACAAGCCCTATAGTTTAGTATTTCATTTTCAATTTGCCTAGTTATCCAAGACCATTTATTTTGGATGTTTTACTAGCAATGTCTAAAACTCAAAAATCAAATCTGTTCATTTCAAAGGCGATTTTGTCAAACACAAAATCACTTTAAGAGGAGACACCCAGATCTCTGGAATTAAACCAGTTGTGTTTTGAGTTGTATTTCAGTGAGTCTGAGCCCTGGTCCTGCTCCAACTGGAGAAGTCTACATTCATTTGGTTTGTGTTGAGGTTCCCTGACAGACTTTATTTGAAGAAATGAATCTTCTTTTTAAGTTTGGAAACACATGAATTAGGCTCGGAGCCACCTTCTTTGTAAAGTTTGGCCACCACTAATTCGGGCTTCATTTGCACCTTAGATATGGCTTAGATGTCATTTTATACTTAAAGTGATTGACAATTCATTACATCTACAGCAGCAAAAGCCTAAAAATTTACAATCCCAGTTTTATGACAGTTTGGCTCATAAAAAAGAATTAATATTGGGCCTAAATCAATTTTGATGATCTGTCTATTTGGTTAGTACTTATAGAGTAATTATTATGTGTCAGGCACTATTCTAAACACTTCACAGGTATTAACTCATAGCCCTCATTTCTATTCCCATAGTCAGGTGACAAAGGAGACCAGGTTAAATACCTCTTTCCCCTCACCTTGTGCTGCCTCTCAATATTTAGCAGTACTTAATTTTGATAAAAATTTGTTTTGCTGTGATAGAGGAAATCTACTATGGCCAAGATAATAATATAGCAAGCTCTGAATGCCAAGTCTCTCCTTTCCTCTGTGTAAAGCAACACTTCTTTGGTTTTCATATTTTCTATCAAGATATCGTGTGGTGCTATAGGTTAAGCACTCAGCTGCAAGTTCCGTTTGAACTACAATATTGGCAGTTCAAACTCACCAGCCATTCCTCGGAAATCCTCTACAGGGTCACTATGAGTCAGAACTGACTCAACGATGTGTGACAACAGCAACAATTATCAAGACCAGGGTTGTAAGATAACCACTAATAAGCACAAGGTTAAGGAGCTCTGGTAGCGTAGTGGTTACGAATCGGGCTGCTAACCTTAAGGTCATCAGTTCAAAACTACCAGCTGCTCTGCGGGAGAAAGATGAGGCTTTCTACTCCTGTAAAGATTTACACCCTCGGAAACCCTGTACAGGGTCGTTATGGGTCGGAACCGACTCGATGGCACTTAACAACAACAAAGCACAAGGTTGACATTCAGCCCATCAGTCGCTCCTTGGAAACCCTATACAGGGTTGCTATGAGTCATAATTAACTTGACGGCACTTGACAACAACAGTCAAGATGAAAAGAAGCCCTGGTGGCACAGTAGGTTAAGCACTGGGCAGCTAACTACAAGGTCAACGATTCAAACTCACCAGTCACCCCATGGGAAAAACATGAGGCGTTCTGTTCCTGTAAAGATTTATTGCCTCTGAAACCCTATGGAACAACTTGATGGTAGTGGTTTTATAGGTTATCAAGACCAAGGAGACAAACATTGCCTGGACTAATATTTGAGAATTTGTGCTGGTGTCCATTTCTTGCCTAGAAAATCTGGTATTTTGAGCTCTGTATACACTTTTTGGTTCTGAGATTCTTCGACCCATTTTCAGAAGCTATTCTCATGTGCCCCATTCATGGAAAAGCTCAGAAAGCGCCCAGCCGGAAACCAGAGTGTAAGTTCTGGTCATCTTCAGAGGAGAAAAAGGAGGGAAGAAGCAGGGTTGTTTTTCTTTCCAGGGATTTCTAGTGAAATCCAACTAGACGCTGGGTCTAGAACAGTCCCTTGGAAAGTGGAAGTGAACTCGTGCTTGCAGGGTGACAGTGGGGTAGGTTGGAGGGGTGGAAAGATTAACAAAT